TGACAAAGCTTGTACACAACCCTGCTAGGTCCATCTGGTTCATCACTGTGTTTCCACAGGGGCAGGTGGGTGAATGCAGGGGGAGCGGGCAGTGAGCACAGTACAACAACCCTCAGTCTACACCTCACAGGGTCTCATGGGGGATCACCAACTCTTTTCTGCATCCTATGTCAAAAAAAGAGACCCAATTTGGAAAGCCACAGACACACAGACACAAAAGTGTGCACCCAAAAGAGAGGCTTCAGTGACCAGACCCAGCATGTCACACGAGTGCCGCCATGGGTAGTACTAAGACACTGGTGGGAGGGGGCAGGGAGAGGGGGCATGGCAGAGACAGCAGCCCCATTTAGGCCTTGGGTTGGTGGTGCCAAACATTCTGCTGAGAACTTGTATGTAGAGGCCAACACAGACATCTACATGACCACAAGGAGGCACATTCATAGAACCAAGGCTTTTGCACTGCGGGACACACAGTGTGACATTCATAACGGCAGAATGACAGGGAGGCAGGTTACTAGCTTTCAAGGGATACAAAAATGTTGCTCACATCGTTGGATTTCCCATCATTTATTACACAAGTCCCAAACCCCGACAAAAATTAAACTACAGGCTCCTGCAACTTCTCTCAAATTGCCTGAAAGAAACAACACTCTCAAAAAAAAGCTCAAGCCTTTAACCTGAAGGGATGCTGCTCAGCAAACCCAGGTATGGAATGTAGTCGGCCTCTTTGATACAAGACACAAGTTATTTTCCCCAGGTTGGTTCTGTGAAGCTAGACACACGTAGGTAGGCTGCCCACCACTAGCTTGCCTCATAGGGCAGGTGCCTTGTCCACTGAGCCTTTGGAAAAATGGTAGCTCCAGCTTTGCTAATGGATGTATCCCCCTGTCTCTATCTGCCCCACTCTGCATCTTCATCCTCTGGGATGTCAGAGACATCATGGACCTGCTGAGAGCTTTACAGATGAGATGCTGGAAGAGACCCTGACATTCACTTGGGGCTTGTTGGTGGTACTCACTCAAAGATATACCCTGGTGTAAGAGAGGTCAGGCACTGGTGTCCTGACTGATGTGAACACTGGAGTCAGCTGAGACAGTTAGGTACGCACAAGGGAGAGGCATTCATAATCTGGGCCACAGTGACACTGTCTCTCACACACAGAGACACATAAGAAACAGACAGTCCCTTTGGGGGCTAGAACTTTCAAAGCTGGTGAAAAGAGTCAGGTGCCCAGCTATGTCCCACAGACATGGGTGCCCCATTCACACAGCCTCATACCTACATGACACACAGACACCCACAGCTCATATCTTCCCCTCTCACACAGTTACGGTATTTGTTCCTCTCTCAGAAAAGACACACTTAAAAGCACAAACTTTCTTAAACTGATATTGCTATTCCCTGAATGTCGTCAGCCTCGTCTCTCTTGCTCCATGTCCTCACCAACAAGCATGTGTGCAGCCCCTCTCAAAAGCAGTTTCCACATTTTCCAGCTTTGCTTTTGTACGTACTCGTGCAGCCCTTCCCCTTGTATGGCATAAGGTCACTAGGACTGTATTACACTGACACCTGTGGACCTTTGCTTCTCAGTGGACCCCAAGCCAGAGAGAAAAGAGGGACTGATGAGAAAATGGTAGGTCTTCTTACCTTTAAGAGCTCTTCTGGCAGGTCCCCTCCATTGTCAATGCCTTTATTGATGGATACAAACCTTTCAAAGTGAGGTTTGTCTTTCACGTTGGGATTGTGCAGGCTGGTGTTAAGCATGATGATAGAGAAGGAGAGTATATAACAGGTGTCTGGCAATAAGAAAGAAAACCAGGATGGGTGGCACTTGTCTTAGAGGGCAGATTAATCCACACCCTAATAGATGGCTTGGTTTCCAGTCACTGGTGAACAGCCTCATCCCCTCTGCTGTAGGAGGGCAAGAGAGATGTCCCCTCTGCTAGGAGTAAGAGGGACAGACAGGGCTAGAGGAGAGATAATTTCCTGTTGTGGAAGTGATTCTGTCCCTCCAGGGTAATGGGGCAAGTTGGGTAG